TTTTTTATGCAAATATTCAAATTCAGATAGATATTGCGTAAGTTCAGAAAGCCAACTAGTCTCCAAGCGGTAAGATAGCTGAGCACCGGTAAATTCTAGCGGCTGCATGGGAGGCTTAGGGGTTTTTCATAAGTACAATTGATTGTGAATTAACAGTTTGTTTCCCACAAAAAAAAAAATCTACCCCGAAGACTTTCCTTTCCCTTAGACAAATAGGTCCTGTGTGCTTTATCATAATCCAAATCTTAAGCGTATAAATCTTTTATCATAGCCGATGATGACGATAAAATATTTCCTATCTGATGTGTCAAGTTAGCATAATTGTATATTTCTAACGAAAATTGTTTGGCTCATGTTACCCTATAATTGAAAAAAAGATTCAAATCGGTTTTTAGCTTATTAATTATTTTAATCATTTTCATTATTAGTTATATCACGTTCATATTTTTTATTATTAATTATATCACGAATTTTATCAATTTATTTCATTATTAATTATATCACGAATTTTATCAATAGTATTCTTAGTATTAATTGCAGGCATGTATTCAAGAATATAATATACACAAAACTGTGTCTAATTACGGCTAATTTTTATATAAAATTTTATAGTATAAAAATTTAGGTTCATAGGTCAGCCATATTTGAAAGAGTACTACTTGTGTATTATAAGAAAAGAGAGAGAGAAAATTTAAGAATAAAAAAATTTACCACGAAGTAATATAAAAATGCACTAGAATACAAAAGAGTACAATACTATTTCATGTTTTGTGGATATACTTGAAGACAGAAACATATTTCAGCTGTATTCGTTCATCGGAAAAAAACTTTTCATATGAAGATATTTTTTTCAAATCTTATTTTACAAGTAATACAAAAGCAGTATAGGAATTTCTTTTCTTAATACCCAACCGAAGAGCTGAGGGGACGTACAATGATTAACATACAATGGGTGCCTTGAATTATTTTGCTTTACATGCAGTTTCCTTATATATGTAAAACAAAATAAACTTTCACCCATTCCAAGATTTCAAGAACTCACAGAGAGAGAGAGAGAAATATCTATAACAAATTTTATTGCTGTCTGACTGATTGCTTCGGGAACGTCTTCCAACTCAAGTTTCAAGCTTCAAGCTATTCAAATACGAACGCTTCTTAGCAAAGCCATTTGGACCGCATCTGTTTGTTAAAGAAAACCTTTTTGGGGGTAAAATCATCCACTTCATCGGGTTTTTCAAACAAAGCAGTCAGTGGTCCTTGTTACTACCTGCTGACCTAGAGAAATTTCTCAGAAACTTTTGCTTCGAAAAAAAACGAGTTTTTATATTTTTAAGAATTTCCATTCTGACAGCAAGATTTTGTTATTTTTCATATATAGATAAAAAGAAACTAATTTGTTTTTAATAAAGAAGAAAAAAATTAATAAGCTTATTTAAATTTTTTACACAGCATCGAGAAAGGAGACGAAATTTAATTTTCTTTATAAATATTTTTCTCAGACAATACTTTAGTGTTTTTCAAATTACGAGAATAGTGCGTTAGTGCATGCATTTTCAAATCAGATTTATTTAATTAATATATATGGATATACCGAACAAGCACCCTTTCGCACACATACACTGTATATTAGTACATACATAAAAATGAAATAAAATTTGAAAACAAGCAATTTAAAAACTACTGCATTGAAAAATTATTGAAAATTTGTTTTTACCTCATTTTGTTTTCGTTATATACATTTACTTCAGTTTTTTTATATGCATTTACTTAATTTTACTTTCTTATATGCATTTACTAATTGTTATTTTGTTATATGCATCTGTTAGTCTTTTTGAAAAATATTTAGATTTTTGAGTATGGCAAAGGAAACGAGACCTATCAGCCGAAGGCAATGAATGTCTCCATGGACGACTTTCTAAGTAAAACGTACTCATGTTCATGTTACACATAGGGGAAATCACAAAATTCAACCAGTTCGTTTGTTTGGGTTCGAATATGAGTCGAAATAGCGATAATCAGATATCTTAGCCAGGAGGCCTTTGATTGGGTTTGACAAATTTGGAATCCTAATAAATAGTATTTAATAAATATAATATTATTAAACGAATCGGATTTATGTAAACCAAATAAAATTCTTATGTCGAACACAACTAAAACTCGATATAACTTACACTGATAAACTGATGTGTAATAACACTGATAAATTAAATAACTAACGGAATATACATTAATTCTACATAGATAATTTTTGTAATGTATTTCGCTGGGAATGTGTCTGGCCGCAAATCCTGATTATATATACCCTTATTTTAAGGTTGTCACATATCTGATGGTTTGACTTTTACCTCAAAACACAAAGAATCCACAAAATTCAGTAAAATTAATAACTTTATTTCCCTGTTGAAAATTCTGAATCTTTTCAAATATAAAAGCACACGCGCCAAGCAGTTTGTTTTAAATAAATATATGCAGCAACGAGAAGATGCGCTTTTGACAGCAACTCGTTTCGAAAATCGAAAATTTTTCTAAATGTAAGAGATTTGTCGCTTAATTAATTTTTCATTAAACAAAAAAAAAAAACCAAAATAGAATCGCATATTATTAAAGAATTTTATTGATAATTCAGATTCTGAAAACAAGAACATTGTGTTATAAAAAACAAAGAAAGAAAAAATAAACAACATACTTCATTCTCACGAGGGCCAAACTTTGGCACATAAAACTTTTCAACATAAAAATATTTGAAGCATGTTATGGATAAAGGTTTATTTGATTATGGCAAAGTACTCGATGGTTATTTGCCTAAGGTGAAGAATGCCTTCGTTCGAGGACTGCCTAACGGAAATTGGCTTGCATACATGTTACACATATGGAAAACTAAGAATATCATCCTGGCAACCAGCCCGTTTGCCGGGATTCGAACCCCGGACAGAACCACCAGTTGTTCCATTAGACTCCGCTCATTCGCTGGTGGGCTGTCCGATAACGGAAAAGTTCAAAATTTCATATTAGAGGAAAAGTGGTAGCATAGTATAATTCGAAGTTATTGCCATTTCAGTAATGTGAAGAGATTTCAAGAATGTTTAATTATTTTATATAGCTTATGACAAACTAAATAAAATAATTAAACATTCTTGAAATCGCTTCTCTTAACATACTGGTAGTTTGACCTGCATTCAAACCCCCGTGAACAAGCTGATTGCATGGGCGTTTTTATGGCTTTAACTTTTTGTAGTGCGAGATTGTTTCCCTTAGAAAATCTGTCACGAAAGCATACCTTCTCTTAGACAGATCGCCTTCACGTGCTTAATAATCTAACAAGCCAAACCAAACACAACCCGAGCGAGGAATCGTAGTCAAGGCACGTCATCATGAAAAGCTAACTAAAATTGGCTCATATTCACATTAAACATCGGCAGCAAAAATTCGCTAAAACTGGTATGCAGGCAATCCATTCGTCAGGATTTGAACCCGCTTCAAACTATTAGTATTCAACGATTTTACCGCTACTTCGTTGGCGGCCTTTTGTAGTATCTATAAGAAAAGTAATCGCAAAGACACAATCATTGCGTACCGACGGATGAATTAAGTTCGGAATTTAAAGAATAACTTTCATTCGTGCTATTGCTGTTAGCATTGACATTTGGACAGATGTTAATTTATTTTAAATTCTTTTAATGTAATTAATTCATATCTTTAAATAATTGATCTTCTGACTGTAATTTTTTGTGCGGAGTATATCTAACCCTTCCGTACACTAACTGTTTTAATTCATTTACACTCCATTAATTTTAAGAGATTTTATATCGATAGATTTCTTTCCAAAAATGTTTCAAGGATTACATATTTTTCTTTAGATTTCAAAACATTTTGGATTTAAAATCTTAATAAAAAAATTTTTAAAACAAATATTTCTAGAAATTCCTTCGTCGTATTCATTTATTCCATTTAGTTGAAGTTTCTAGTAGAATATCTTCCTTTCAACATTCATATAATTTTTATATGTCAGTTCGCCATTTCTACGGAGCATAGAGGCACACATACGAGTACAAAACTCAGGCATGCTGAAAGCACAGTTTTAACATTTAAGAATGTAAAAAGAAGAATATACCATTATAATAACGCGCATTTGAAATACGAAGGCAAACAAGAAAGCTGGTTGCAACATTTTATATTTTTTCCTGACGAATCAGAAATTGTAATCATTTTTCAATACAAAAATAAAATATTTGATTCTATAACATATAGGCATAAAGGCGTCCTCCGTTACAATTCTTATTTTTTCTTGTTTCTACTAAAATTTGGCAATGTACTATACAACGTCGAATCCTGTTTTACTTTCATTTGTATAAAGTACCACAAGGCAAACAATTGTAAAACGATTTATCTTCTTTCGCAAACTTTTAGTCGGCGCACAGATAATACATACAAACAAAGATACTTCACAAAACAAAGAGTCTAACAAAGATACTTCACTCTAAGGACTTTTTCCTAAAGTGCTCTTTTCAAAGAGACTTCACACCCTATTAAGACCTTTGTGTCAACCGACAGCCGCCTGCAGAAAGGTAGGGGAAGGAAGACCAGATCGCGTCGTCTAAACACGTCTTAAGCAATCTTCGCGAAATTCGGGCTTCGTGTATACACGTCTTAAGCATTTTTCGTGCGATTTGAAATTCGTGTAAAGACGTCTTAAGCATTTTTAAAGAAATTCCAAAATCTTTCAAACACGTCTTAAGCAGTTAAAGGGTTAATTGAATACTGTAGTCTTGTTTAGTCTACACTGTTCATTCTCTTCGAGTAGTGCAAACACCGGAGTACCTGGTCTGTGGCGACCTATCTCCATCAAGTAAATAGTTTCTTTCGAATTTACTGCGAAGTAGCAGAGGTGCTTCTAAATGCTGAGGAATGACAAAAGAAAATAGGTGACACTGTTCATTTTGTTTTACTGATGGTCTTCACCTGATGCAAAGTAAAAAAAAGCACTGCTTTAACGGTTCTTTTGCATGCTTTGATTTCTTTCTTAGGCAGTATTCTCGACCTTTCCCTTGTCATAAGAAAAAACTTGTTCTTCCTTAATATTTGAACAACACACTATTTAAGTTTTTATTAATTTTTTCTGACATATAAGCAAATCGAGAAAAGTACTATTTCATTCCTCTAAATTAGCAATATTCAAAAACGAAACAGGCCTTCAATTTTGACATAAGCAGTAGCTACTCCCAAACTACTCAGCTAATAGGAATAATACAAAATAGCGGAAAGTTTCGTGAACTTGTCGTTTTGGAAGTAGAGTTGCAAAATCGTAGGTTATGTTGTATTATTAGTAAATGAATGTGTATTAAGAATTAGGATAAGTTCGATATTAGTGTTATACTCTAAGCTAATTCGTTGTGTTGAACTCTCTACCTTTTTTTCTAAGTATTAAATCGTCGCAAATTGCTTCAGTACAATGTAAACACTGTCATGAAAATTCAGCTGATGTAAACGGAATTCATCTTCTGATTAAACTGAGCCGGATTTTCGACTTGTGATCCATAGACAATGACTTATATTAACCAAAGATCAATGTAAATTCGTAGCTGAACCAATGGTTTTAAATAACACAACAAAAGTAATTTATCTGTCGAAATGTCTTTAAATTTTTAGAATATTTCAATTCTAGCCAGCGTATAATTCCTTCATTAAGAAAAAATATTGCTTTAAAGAAGTTATGCAAAACAAATGGTATTCTTATGGTGTGTGTAATTGTTATGCATGTAGTTTCTGAAGATCTATGAATTTTCGCACGGTTTAGGTTGACTGTTTAATCTTTGAAATATAATAGTAAATATTAAATTTTAAAAACTTTTCTGCTATCTTATTCGTAAAGTATATTTTACGAGTTGCCAATACTAAAACATTTTAAGTCCCCCCAGATATGAATATATTTTAATTATTTAACTTCAGATGAAACCTTTGTGTATAAAGTCATAAGAGTTGCCAATACTAAAACATTTTTATAGAAAAGCCAATTCCTTTATGAATATAAACTGAATACTGTCTCCAGTTGTTAAAATGTATAAACTGTAAAATACCAGTAGGAAAATCAGATCTCTTACAGTCTGTTTAAACTACACTTGACAAGAAATAAAAATTGTAATCAATAACTAATACATGTTAAAGAATTTAAAACTGATTAAAAAGTATTTATTCTTTAATCTATCCTTAAATTTCAAAGCATATATAATAGGTGTTCAACAACTTTCTGACAATCATTAAGTATGCATATATACAGATATAGCTTGTTTTACAATTGTTTCCTTTGCTTTTACGAAACCATATAACCATTTCTTGTTAACTAAGAAAGGAACTACTCTTATATGCACCCTCAAGTCGCCAAACGCAGCGAAAAATTTTGGCGAGAAATTCCACGGTGCCATATTACTATCTAAATTTTTTGTCTATATTTACATTACATTTAAGCCTAAAATGTCTCCAAAAACACGGTTTTCGCACATGCAAAAACCACGTTTTGAACACACAATTTAAGCTAAAAATCCGAAACAAAAACAAAAATTTAGATAACAAAAACAAAGTTTCTAACCAAAAATATTTAACAATAATTCATGTACTGTTTTAACTTTAAAAAAAAATCTGTGAATGTTTTGACGATATGTTTTAACTTAAAAAAACATCTACGAAATCTACAAAGGAATCTACGAACTATGCACACGTCCGTGCATTCTGTTTAACCCTTTATCGGGCCTAGGCCATTTATTTTCAAAATTCATATTTTATGCAACTATTAGAGAAAAGTAGCTCGTTTATGACCAAAAATACTATTTTTGGAATTCTGTTGTTGTTGTTGTTGTTTATAATAGGGGTGGTAACATATTTACCACTGCCCGGTATAAGCAATGGCATTTTACTGAGTTGTGCAAAAGAAAAAAATCATAATTACAAAAATATCACAAAAAAACATGTATTTTTTGATGAAAACTATTTATTCTTGATTATTTAAATATACATATTTATAATATAAAATCGATGATTAATATAAAATTCATATATAAAATTACAGATACAAAAATAAATATAACCAAATGCACTACTTCTACTGAGTTTAATTTTAATTTTTATTTTTATTTATAACATGGAGCAGCACAGTGGTACATCACATGTTGAACATAACACCTTGGTACGTTTCTGATTTACTTTTGTGCTGCAATATTTGCACCTTCTGTAACTTTCTCCTCTGACTGGCATTTCTAACATTAGTTGTTCGGATTTCCCCTTGGAATAGCATTTTCCTTTTTCGCTGATACCCAGTTTGATTGCAGTTTTCGTTTTTTACTAGAGAAGCCTCCAATTAGGCTGCGAGCTACTCTCAACCTAAATTCAAGTAAGAATTTCTTTTTATGAATGTCCCATATAAAATGTGTAAACTTAAAAAGTAAAATAGCAGCCACTTTCTTTGATCTCTTATTGTACTCTATATTCCAAACCTTCAGAAATGGAATATCGTCTTTTTTCCCAGTATAAACCAAACTTATAGAACCATTTGAAGCGTTTGATCTAGCCCAAATCTTATAAACTCTTTTACAGGCTTACCTGGCATATATTGCTTCATTGGGGACCTTCCTTTGAATTTTACCATTTTTTCACCAATAGATTGAAGTCTGAATATTTTTCTTGAATTTTTATCTAAATGGGTGATCAAAGAACGCATTTACTGTAGTTTGTCAAATTCTGGCTCATTTCAAGGGACAGCCTTTTGATTGCCATTGATATGCAAATTTGAAAGGATATTTTTTTAATCTCTTTGCTGGCATAATTGACGAGATTTCTTGATTATTGAAAAAAAGAGTCAGAAGACCAGTACAAATCTAAGGTAATTTATTGATCCTCTTCATAATTATGATTTCCCAAAAAGCCTGCAGTTCTTGCGTGAGGGAGTCCTTTTTCGGAATCTTCAGGATCTGAAGGCAGTGCAAAATAATGCTCTACAGCTTCCTCGGTGATTATTTTTTTTTCTTTTTCTTCAATGCGTTTACCTAAAATAATATTCATTACATTTAATTAGTTACTTATATTTTGAAATCTCTTGAACATACTGATCAAAATATTACCTTTATAGCATTCTAAAGTAATATTTTAATTCTAATTTCTAAATACATAAATATTTATGTAATCGTAAATAAACGCTAAAATATTTTCCATAATATTTATAATAATTAATATTAAAATATTAATTATTGAAATGCTAATATAAAAGTATTAGATATACAAAGAAATCAAGTCCCATATCAAACAAAATGCTATTTGTAAAGCGAAACATATTAGTAAAACTGTGTTTCTATCAGGCAGTGGTAAATTATTTACCACCTCTAAAATCACTAAGCGTGCCGTGGTAAATAATTTACCACCAAATTCAAATATGTATAAAACAAAATATTTCGCTATAATTTTTTAAATGCCTAATACAATTTAGCTATCAAACCTTTAAGATACAAAATATATGAATATATAGCTTTTAACGTATTTTTATATATCATTACACAATAAAATAAGAAAAGAGTATGTGCTTACCCTCTCCATTTTGCTTGAAAACTGGATGAATGCAGAAATGTTGTGGTTTACGTGTCCTCTACAGCCATCTATTACAGAAAATGTGAAGCTCTGGTTCCAGAGGAAAATTCCTGATATCGGGCACTGGTAAATAATTTTCCGTATGCTGCTAGAAAACAAATTGCTTAGTGGTAAGATATTTACCACCGCCTGTAAAAGGGTTAAACTTTAAAAAAATCTACGAATTGCACAATCTAGGCATAGCGCACAAATCAACAAAATAAACTAAAATAAATTACAAATAATTCAAAAAGCAACAATGACAATAGAAATTCATAGTAAAAAAACAATGAACATAACATTCTACAAAATAAAAACAAAATAAAATTCACTTACCGTAATGGATCCTTCTGCGGACAGTAGAACGTAGCTTTAACATGCCGCCACATACTCCCTATGGTATTTATATGACAGCCGTACTCGCTATCTACAAAATTCATACTATGGTTCACAAATAAATGTTCAAAACCTTCTTTTCCTAAATCCTTGTAAGATTTCTAGCCATCCGAAAAAATATTTGTACAAGGCTCAATCCACTCTTTAATGCACTGCATCAGCGTTTCTTGAACACTTGTGAAAACATGCCCAATATTTGTTTTATGCAACAGCTACAAAAAATATGACTATGTATGATGCAACCTTTGCATAAAGCAATTTTGCAAAATATGGATTGTCTTTGTATAATAGAAAAAGTTATCTTAATCCTAGCAGTAAAGCATTCTGTATGACAAACTTTGATTTCTGGCTGTGGCTTAGATAGGCATAGAAATTGCAAATGCTATAATCTAATGAATGCAAATAATGATATTTATAGATGATTGTATAAATCTTTATGCCCTCTGACCTTCACTACAGAGCTTGTATCTCAAACAACTAAAAGTAATACACAATCTTTACAGCCATCATCTTTATATCTTTTAGAGTAGTTGCTCTTATTTCAGTTTTGGAAGGAGTTTCTTTTTATATGATAAGTGTGTTTTTTATATTTCTTTTATTGCTGTTTTAGTCTTTAAGAGGTGTTTGATATATAGGGAGAGAGAGAGCTGGGAACATATGAAGGCTTTTTCTGTATAATTTGATGATAGTTGCCTCTCTGCTTTACACCATTTTAACTTACATAAGATTTCACAGGAAAACTCAAGTTTTGTAAAGAAAACCTGTATGTGTATTTTAAAATGTGTCCAGACTATGCAAAAAGATTGTGACGCAACACCTATTTTCCCTTCCTTCCCAACACAAATATAAACATCTGACTGATGTAATGTTCTGATAAACGGTGACCTTGACTAAAAATAGATCACTCCTAGAGACAGCGATCCTTTCATTAAATATTTTCAGCAAAATACCCAGTCGAAAATTTTGCTTAAAGTACGAGATTAATTATTATAAACAAAATGATTGTTGAAGGCAAATATTTTTTTACAGAAATAATCTTCATAATATTCCCTACACAAAATCATCTGCTGGTATAAAATATCTTAGGTAGTTATATTTATATACGCATTTATTTTGACCGTTGCATCAACGCAACACCAGCGACTAATGGGTTAACATAACTTACAATGTTTGGCAGTGCCTTATTCACAAAATATTGAAGTTAAAGCAAAATTTATGTAAATTGGAAAATGATGGGAAAATTAAGTCACTTCTTGTGGAAAAAATGTTTCTTAAATATAGTGTGTTGTTACCACAAACAGGTACGCATACCTCACATCCTGATTTCATAGACTTTACCAAAGTGTTGTTCAAGTTTTGTGGAATTGCACGCTATACTTCTAAAAATGCACTTTTCAGTTCCTGAAGTGTCTGGAGAGGAATCTGGCATGCTGAATTTCTGCACCATAAGACCTCTCACACCATGCTCAGTTGGGTGCTATTTTTTGTTTTTCAAATATTCTCACACCACATATGTTCGATGAAGCCAAGCATTGTCATCCATTTGCAAAACATCTGAGCCAACAGCACCCCTAAACAGTCTAACTTGGCGTTCCAATACCTTGTCCA